GGGTGGAGACTGACAGAAACAATCTGGAGGCATGGGCATAGCCAGGATTTTTTTTAGGGGGCAGAACCTCAGATTTGTATTGATATGTGTTGATTTTTAGGGAGGGCAGCTGCCCCCTGCCTTCCCCTTGGCTGCACTCATGTCTGGAGGTGCATCATGGGCGCTATTTAAAACAAGTGGTGTAAAAATGCAGGAACCTGAGTGATCTCATAGAAGTGCTATAATGAGTTTGCACCTTCCAGACCTTATACTAGTTGTACAAGCCATTCATGCCTGTGTTTTATCATTCTATGATGTTTTTATTGTATTTCTGGTGTACGCTGCCACAATATTTTCATTATGAGTTGGTGGTTTATAAACGCCCTTATAAACAAATGTTAGCGGGAGTGTATATTTTGGATGCAGAAGAAGTCAAGTCCAATTTTTGGCAGTTTAAAGGGCCCAGTTAGCAAGTGGTGGTTAGCAGACAGCAGGCTGCTTGACATTTTGGAGAGCTGCCGTCAGCTAGGCAGACAATTAGTCTGACATGATCTAAGGCCGCTTCATATGTTCCAGAACAAATTCTGGACATTGAAAGACGAGCTCATATTTTCCAGTTGATAACAAGGTTGTTCATCTCCTTCAATTCTCACCCCTTCCTCTATATTAAAGGGGGGGAATGGCAGGCTGGAGTTGGCATTATAGTAAGTAAAAGAACCTTTAGTCATCTCAGTCACCGATCCAGAAATTTGCACCCCAAACTAGTTGCTAAACTCAAAACATGGAACATTTCCTTTCACATTTTTGGAAGACCCCCCCCCCGCAGAGCTTTTATTTCTGGCACAGTTATTAGTCAACTCCATGTCAGTGACAAAGAAATGGCAGTATCTCATTAACTTGTCAGGGACGCGGGTGGCGCTGTGGGTAAAACCTCAGCGCCTAGGACTTGCCGATCGCATGGTCGGCGGTTCGAATCCCCGCGGCGGAGTGCGCTCCCGTCGTTCGGTCCCAGCGCCTGCCAACCTAGCAGTTCGAAAGCACCTCCGGGTGCAAGTAGATAAATAGGGACCGCTTACCAGCGGGAAGGTAAACGGCATTCCGTGTGTGCTGCGCTGGCTCGCCAGATGCAGCTTGTCACGCTGGCCATGTGACCCGGAAGTGTCTGCGGACAGCGCTGGCTCCCGGCCTATAGAGTGAGATGAGCGCACAACCCTAGAGTCTGGCAAGACTGGCCCGAACGGGCAGGGGTACCTTTACCTTTACCTTTACATTAACTTGTCAATGCTGGTGCTATTCATTCATTTGAAAATGCACCAAAAATAATTGTAGTGACTTACTGCAAAAGGTGTGCAGATGATCTGTGGGCTGCCTCGACCACAGAATCATGCGTTTTGCATAACACACAATGCATTGGGCGATGCCCTACTTCTTAGCCTCTGCTCATTATCTTTTATATGGGAATAATAGTCACCTACCTTAGCAATTCTTTACAAAACCTACTATTCTGAATCAGCAACGTTTGTCAATAGAAACAAGCCTTTCCAACCACTCATGAGTTATTCATAGGTCAGTTGCCTTTGCAGGCAAATCTACACTCTTTCTGCCTCTTGTCTACCAGAAATGACGCACTGGTATTAATTACATAATCACTCATCCTGGGGTCCAGGAGAGTTGAGCCAAGAGCATTTTGAAGGGCTCTTGAAAAGGATTCTCTTTCTGCTAAGACATTAACTCACCCTTCAGTGTGTAAACAAATGAGAGGTCAGGAATTAAGAGGTTGCTACTCCCGTATGTCTGATCCTGCAAAGAAGCCTTAACCAGACTCTTCCAACGATGAATAAAGGAGTATTGCACCAAAAAAAGCACTTTGCTAGGTTCCAATGCTAAATGAATGTCCATTCATGATGCAGCGGTTGAAGCAAGAAGGCTATAGCTGCAATTCCCCAATCGGTAAACAGGGTTATACTGGTTTAAGTCCAGGCTCTTCATGCTCACTTGTTTGTAGAATACAGCTGTAAACCTTTCTCAGTAGGTCAAATCAGCACTAATTCCACTGAGTTGTAGCTTGCATCCATAGTAGGGCTCTTTTAGTACAGAGGCATTGCTTTCCCACCATGAAGTGGAACAGAGGGAAATGCCCATCACCAGGGACAAAATAATCTATCATATCTGTACATAGTTATCTATATAAAAATCATCCTATAAATCTCATTTGACAATGACCCCTCGCAATGTATTCTTAATGATTTCTGGCAATATTAACTCAGTTTTCATCATGGCTGATGCGTTACTGACAAATGGATCTCACCATTGCCCCTTAATTATTTTATTTATTTTCTTTCATAAAAGTTATATACCAGTTGATTATTAAAAAAAACAACAACCACAACCCTCTAAGTGGTTTTAATAAGTAATTTAGTAATTAGTGTGTTTCTGTGTCCCATGGTAGAGGTTACAAGAAGGAAGCTTTTATAGGTATAATAGATTCCCCCCCAAAGCCTCTGTAGCACTTTGCCTATATACCCTGGACAGGTTGGTGCTGCTGTTGCATTTTCAGCAGGGGAAACTGCACAGATTCAGGTGAGTGAACAAAGGATCACAATACAGGACTGAACAGCTGGCATTATTGCACCTGAGCAAGGAATAGTTTCTGTGCCAAGCATATACAGTACCTGCCTGGAAGCCATACACCCGTGCTAAGAAATGCTAATCTCAAGTGTTGGAAGATGGATTGTGTTTACTCAGTGGCGAGGGAAATGTATTCTTGTGCACAGAATGACTTCCCATTATTATTGCTTCACATGCTATGAACGTATGAAGCTGTCTTTTCCCAAATCACATCATCGGTTATTTTAGCACAGTACTTTTTACACCAACAAGCATCAGTCCTGCCTCCTCCCTTCCAGGCTCCTGACAGGAGTATTTCCCTCTCCTTAGATATGCTAAGGACTGCATCTGGGACCTTTTGCATACAGATCATGCGCTTTGCAACTGAGCTATGGCTCTTCCAGGTAATCCTTGGATCAAACTGAGTCCTGCATTTAATTCCAGCACTAGAAGAAGAAGAGGGGAAAAACATGCCAGGGTTTTTGTTTGTTTGCTTCCTTGCTTCCCTTCACTTTTTCATTCCTTTTCTCCTGTGACAGATGATTAATAGAATACATAGAATTCGAAAGGTCATTGAGAGGAAGGAGTGTAGTAGTCGGTTGTCTCGCTGACTTAGTCTGGGAACTGAAAAGAAGGCCAGTGCATTTGGTTATTTCTGTCTGCCGAATACCCAGCACTAAAAACCCCACACCCAGTTCTTGAAGGCATGCAAACAAATGTTCTTAGTGGATTTCGGGTGCGATGAGGAGCCAGAGTATTCCCTTTGCCCCCCCCCCATTAGAAAGAACCAGACAGCAGGCTGCTTGATGCCACTAATGGTTGTTCTCAGATGGCATTTCTCCTTCTGCCCCCCCGCCACCCCATTTTTGAAAGGTGTAAGCCATGTTGATAAAACCTTCAGCAGCTGTTGACTAGACCTCAGAGGCTACTTCCTCAGCTCTAAAACTTTTCGGGGGAATCTGTCAACGCTTCTGCCACTTCCGCGGCAAGGTCAAGACAAGCACATGGCAGCTTTATGAGTGTGCCAGATCCTTGCCAGCTGTTTCTCCTACCTTCATTTTCACCTAATTCTCTTAATTAAGAAACAGAAATATATGAATCCCCCCCTTTCCTTTTAACAGTAAGAAAAGAAGACACTTAGCATGAAGGACGACCGCCGCCCCCAATTTTTTTTTTGATTAAGGAGTATGGTATCAGGGCCTAAACCTGCACACAGCTATGATGGTATGAACCACTCTTTTGATCTCTCTCTCCCTGCTATCTAAGTGGCAGTTAGGCATCATAAACAGCAAAGAGTCTTGTGACACTTTTTGAGATTAATAGATGCACTTGTGGAATAATCTTCCACCAGCTTGAGCCATGCTTCATCAAATGAATGAAATGCGCTATTTCAGTTGGCAGATTATGTGGAATGACATTTCTGTTCAAAGCTGAAATGTATACAGTGTAAGCTGAGTAAGCTTTTGCAACTTCTGCAATTGGTGATATTCCTAGCTGTGCCAATTATTGCTGTTGTGCATGGCCACTCATATCTCACTAACTTACACTTGAACCTTGCATGGAAATGTCACAGACCTATGGGACCTCCTGCATTCCATGGCCCTTTGGCTTCCCTCTTTCTATTTTCTCTCTTTCTCCATAGCTATAGCTAATATGGATAATCTGCCAACTGCGATAATAGGCCTTGCACATTTGGTGAAGTAGGTTCAGATCTTATGCCAGACTCCTTTCGTTAGACCTTGTAAGTTCCCCAAGGATCGCCCCTGTTTTCTGTTGCAGCAGGTTAACACAGCCGCTCCTCCCGTGGTCGAAATCACGTTTTCATTTTCACAAAACAACTTTGCTTTCCTATTTCGTTGTGGTAGCTCTCATGTCACCTTGCTACAGTTGTTGCGACACCGAGATCATGTTCACTGAAGGATGCTTTTTTAAAAAAACGCCTTGCATTAAATTCTGGGTGATATTGCGTTACCCAAAAATTGTGGGTGACATTGTGCTTTCTGCCAGGAACCTATGGAAGAACCTGGACATGATATAGAGTTTTTTCAGGTATGGTTTGTTCTTCATGGAGGCAGAAAAATAAGGGGAGGGGGCAACAACGAAAGGGCTAGGATATGTGAGTGCAACATGACATGGAAGAACCTTGCACTGATAGCATATTTTCATCCACATAGCTTGTCCTTCTGGTTTGCGGATGGGAGGAGACTATGAGGCATCTGATGTACAGGGGTAGAATGTCATGAATGATCAGAAATGGTGCAAAAAGCACCATGCAGCCATGCTCCTGCTAATAACCTGAGCATTATTGAATACTTTGAATGATTTTAACCAGTTTACCTTGAAAGTATATTTCCCCCCCAGAAATGTTTGTTTTGGGGATTCATTTTCCTGCCTTGATTTTATTTATTTTTTAGGTCCCATCAGCAGCATTTTGGTGAACCGTTACGGCAGCCGACCGGTGGTCATATTGGGAGGCTTGCTATGTGGCATAGGGATGGTTTCTGCATCCTTCTGCACAAGCATTTTTCAACTGTACTTATGCGCTGGGCTTATCACAGGTAATAACGAAACCTTTCTTTACTTTCCTTAGAATAATGGACACTGCAGGTGTCTAATGAGGATATTTAAATCAGTCCTCACCAACGTGGTGCTCTCTGAGAGCCAGTGTGGTATAGTGGTTAAGAGCGGTAGACTTGTAATCTAGTGAACCGGGTTCGCTTCCCCGCTCCTCCACATGCAGCTGCTGGGTGACCTTGGGCTTGTCACACTTCTCTGAAGTCTCTCAGCCTCACTCACCTCACAGAGTGTTTGTTGTGGGGGAGGAAGGGAAAAGGAGAATGTCAGCCGTTTTGAGACTCCTTAGGGTAGTGATAAATCAGGATATCAAATCCAAACTCCTCCTCCTCCTCCTCCTCCTCCTCCTCCTCCTCCTCCTCCTCCTCCTCTTCTTCTTCTCTGGACATTTTGGGACTACAGCCCCTGCCACCCCCAGCCAGCACAGCCATGCTGGAATGGGCTAATGGGAATTGTACTCCAAATAAACAAATGTGAGGGTGGCAGGACCGAGAGAAGAGCCTCTCCTGAGGATCTCAGAACCCGGGCAGGTTTGTATGAGGAAATACGGTCTTTTAGATACCTTGGGCCTTATAGGGCTTTATAGGTCATCACCAGCACTTCGAATTGTGCCCAGGAATAGACTGGTAGCCAGTGGAACTGCTGTAACATATGCTCGCTATCGCCAGCCCTTGTTGGCAACCTCTTTGAACTAGTTGAAGTTTCTGAGCACTTTTCAAAGGCAGACCCACCTAGAGCATGTTACAGCAATCCAAATGGGATGTAATTAAGGCGTGTGCCACTGTTGCTAAATCGGACATCTGAAGAAATGGGTGCAGCTGGCACACTACTTTTAACTCTGCAAATGCACTTCTGGCCACTGCAGACATCCATGCTTGGGGCTGAGTCCAGGAGCACAGCCAAACTGCTAGTGTATGTCTTCAGGGATAGTGCTACCCTATTCAGCACAGGCTTCTGCCTTCCGACTGACCAAGAGCAAAATTATCTGTTTAGAGGAGGAGGAGGAGGAGGAGTTTGGATTTGATATCCCGCTTTATCACTACCCTAAGGAGTCTCAAAGCGGCTAACAATCTCCTTTCCCTTCCTCCCCCACAACAAACACTCTGTGAGGTGAGTGGGGCTGAGAGACTTCAAAGAAGTGTTACTGGCCCAAGGTCACCCAACAGCTGCATGTGGAGGAGCGGAGATGCGAACCCGGTTCACCAGATTACAAGTCCACTGCTCTTAACCACTACACCACACTGGCTCTTTATAGTTTAAACATAACACATTACATTACTTGGTATACTAAATTCTTTTACTGCATCTGAATTTTGAGGGTCTTTTTTCTTGCCTATACTCAACTTATCAGCCTGGCTTTAATTTTAAAATAAAAAAAAATTACGAACAGATTGAAGGAAACAAAGATGGCTGTTGAACCCCTTCAATTCACACATGAGTCATAGTTTCTAACAGCTATGGAAATACCTTGTGTGTGTACTTAGAAAACACAAACATTCCACTGTAAAATTTCCATCTGCATATATGGCATATGTGGTATCTTTTGCTGCTGCCATGATTGCATGATTGAATAGATTTTCCTTCAACATTATTCTGTTGAGTCTGAGTCTAGTCTGTGGATGGAATCTTGAGAGTAGTTGGAGAATTCATTGGCATACAGGAAATCTTTTTACTCCTACCAAGCTTTCTTAAAAAAGAAAAGAAAAGCTTAGAATCCAGATTTCAGATCTCATGCTGAGTGGACAATTGTTTGTTTTGTTTCTGAGAATGCACAGCGAACTACCATTTCCAGGATTCTTTGGGGGATGGCAAGAGAGTTCAACTTATATAAAACTAAGAAAGATACACAATCTTGTGCAGCTTTTTCAGCCTTGGGTCCACAGATGTGGTTGGGCTACAACTCCCATCAGCCCTAGCTAGCAGAACCAGTGGTCAGGGATGATGGGAGTTGTAGTCCAACAACGTCTGAGGACCCAAGGCTGAGAAAGGCTGGTCTTGTGACCACAGTCTCCTCTGGAGCTGAAATTTTAAAGGTTTTCTAGCATTTCACTTCATCTTTTGATGAAGAAGACGGATGTCTGCAAAAGCTCGTATCACCTTAAGCTCTTCTTCTGCAACCAAGGAATTAAAAAGCAAGATTCCAGCACAGGACTGCTGGATTAGAACATATCCAGAAGTACGATTTCCTATCCTATTACAGATGTTAATTAACATGGCTGCTCTAGCTTGATTGTATTATCAGTAATTACTGCTGGTGTGAATGATCATTTGTGCTTATTCTGCATACATTTAAGCTTTAATCGAATTGTCACAGACAGCTCTTTTTGCATTTCATTGCCATTTGACCCCAGAGTTTATCATTTTCCTCTCTAGCCTGTGTGTGTAGGTATACACTTCCCCACTGAGAACAATACCTCATTCATCATGCTACAATAAATCTAGTCGCAAGGGGGCATGAGGCTCCTTTGTTGTCTTTGATGCAGAAAGGACAACATGGCTACCCCTCTGGGGCACATGGTCAGTCCCTGCTGTGCCGGAGCACATTTTGCCTTCTGAATTAATTCTATCTCTGTCTCTATTACAGGATTTGGCCTTGCCCTCAACCTCCAGCCTTCCGTGATCATCATTGGAAAGTACTTCCTGAAGAGGCGTCCAATAGCCAACGGCCTCGCCATGGCAGGAAGCCCTGTCATGCTTTGTACGCTTGCTCCCTTGAACCAGCTCCTTTTCGACAACTTTGGGTGGAGGGGGAGCTTTTTTATTCTTGGGGCGATACTACTGAACTGCTGTGTGGCTGGAGCCCTCTTCAGGCCCATCGGCACAGCATCTGGCCCCTCTGAGAAGCAAACAAATAAACAAGCAAAAGAGACTTTAGCTAAAGAACAGCTTGATATGGGCATAGCTGAAATGGCTGATCCTGGAGACGAAGAGAAGGAGGACAAAGACTGTTGCGAAAACTTTAACAAATTCCTTGATTTATCTCTTTTCAAGCACAGGGGCTTCCTGATCTATTTGGTAGGGAATGTGCTGATGTTTCTGGGCTTTTTTGCCCCTATTGTTTTTTTGGCTCCTTACGCAAAGCACCTTGGGATTGATGAATATTCAGCAGCTTTCCTCCTTTCAATTCTGGCGATAGTCGATATGATAGCTAGGCCAGCTACGGGGCTCATTGCCAACAGCAAGTGGGTGAGGCCAAAGATTCAGTATTTCTTCAGCTTCTCCATTGCTTTTAATGGCACATGCCATCTGCTGTGCCCATTAGCAACAGGCTATACAGGCCTGGTAGTGTATTCCGTCTTCTACGGGCTGGCCTTTGGTATGGTTTGTGCGATGCTGTTTGAAACTCTCATGGACCTGGTTGGCGCCAGCAGATTCACAAGTGCTGTTGGACTCGTCACTATAGTGGAATGCTGCACCATCTTACTTGGGCCACCTATTGGGGGTAAGGATATTTCTATACTTCTGCTCATTGTTCAGTTTGCAGTTGGGAACAGATCTGTGAATTCTTTGACTTTGAGTAGGGGACATCAGGTTTTAAGGTGCGCTCCACAACTTCGAATGTTGACCCACCATTTCTTCCTTTTGCTGGACCAAACCCTCTTTCCTTGAGTTTTCCAGCAATGCAGTTTCAATGGGACTTGCAGCTTAAATGGCAACTGATATAAGATGGCTGGCCACCACGAGCTCTGTCCCCGGTTGAAAACGCAGCACAGCTAGAAAGTTCAGTTCCCCTGCAAACTAATTGAAATGGGTCTTGCGGAGCTGAAGTGCCAAATCAAAGTTTCTTCTTCAAACAAATTCAGATGAACATAGTGAAATCTTTGCTGCTTAAATGTAAGGTATTTGCAAGCTAAGATGTAACTCCACTGCTGAGATGTAACCTTACAAGACCTTAGGTTCCTCTGCTGGCAAACTAAGTAGATAATACTTAGATTAGAATTTGAAGAGTGACACATGGTTGTTATCTTTATATGTTTGCTTTTAGGAATTAAGACCTTTTAAATTTAGTAGCACTTATTTCTGAGCGGATATGTGAATTCTAGCCACGTTTCTCTCCCTCTGTCATACCAAGAATTCAGGTTGGGCAACAGGGGTTTATATGGTCAATTACACAGGAAGCTACACAGGCCTCTTTTCAGTAAACAGTTCTAAACAAATATGAAACCTTCCAGAGCCTGGGGTGGGTGGGTGGAGGAGCTGGTTGCAAGTGCTGGAATCCACACATGTTTTTATTGTATAATCCCTGCTTTTTGTTCTTCAGAGGTATAACTGTTCAATCAAAAGCTTATTAACTTCAAACAACAACAGAAACCCTCTGATAGCAAAATCTGCTCTCTACAAGAAAGCTCTGCAGGAGTTGTGTCAATATGACAAAACTTTTGAAAGGGGGAAATTAGATGCAATATTCATGTAACTTTCAGAATAAAATCCCTTTAACCATCCACAAATGCAGCGACAGCGGGTTTCAGTTTTATTACAATGCGAGCATCATTTCATTAGTAGGTGCCATTCCTGTTAACACTTCTTGTGTTCTGCAACTACCGTATGAGGCCATGTTCCCAGGTAACTTGCTAGAGCTATAATTCCAAAATGGTGGTACCCCTAGGGAACAGCCTTGTGGATAAGCTTTTGGTGGTGACTTGTGATATTAACTTGGCACGTGCACACCAAGAACGTAGTATTTGCTGGCATTTTAACTGCAGCACATTGATTAGTGCTAAGATTTATTTATCTGCCTCGTAGGAGTGCATCTAGGCGGCATTCAGCTCTACTGTTTAATTACACGCTGACATAAATGGTGCCGCTTCTCATGAATGAAATTTGAGTTGTTGCAACAGCCAGCTCTCCTGCTTGGTTCCATTGCTGCAAGATGCAAAGTTAGCCCATAATAAATCCATTCTAATCAATGAAGGGGCTGGTCTGGTATGCATTACCAAGGCCTGGCAAGAGGGAGGGGCTGATCTAACTCAACACTTTCCCACTGGGTACTTACTGCAGCACCAGTGCAAGTTGCGTTAAGATGAAAAGAGAATGGAATTGAATTAAGATGGAAGAGAAATGGATGTGATGTACCAGGGTGATAGCAAGTGGTTGATCTTAGTAAATGTTTTTGGGAACTGCTACAGTATTCTACACACTTATGAGAGCAGCAGTCTTTTGCAGACCTTGGGATAATTTAGCCAGATATAAATCTTTGCATAGTTATAGGATAAAAGTTGCCTCTAAACTTTTTTGTGTGTGTCTCAGTGCTGGACTAAAGAGAGTATTTCAACAAGGACATAAATGACCAAATATGGTAGGCTCAGTAATATATAGGATCAATGCCATCCTCTCACTGCACAGGGTTTGTGTTGGATTCTGTGGTTTGCGTTCACAAATTAATAGAACAGCTCCATTTGCATTTAAATTTGCTTTAACCCTATGGATTACAGTGGGACTGAAATGGCTTTGGACCATTTCCTACCTAGATGGTTGGTGGGTTAGAAGATATAACCATTACCATTACTGCTTAGTGGGTAATTTTATAACTTATGCTACCCCAAAAGCATTTCCAGGCAAATGGACCTCCGATAGTGTAATTCAAAAGATTTACAAAAATGCAGGCCCCTTTTTTGTTTTGTTTTATTACCTCGATGAGCAATTCACTTCTTCCCTTTTTGTCCTTTGCATGGAAGAACACCTGCACATTACCTTCCTTTTGAGGGGAAACTTTATTCCATTCAGGATAACTTGGATTTTGTTTTAAAGCAGCCATTTCCCAAGTTATATACAATTTTATGAAGCAGATTAAGCTAATTGCTAAAGCTTGGTAATGAGGCCAGAAACTGCTGTGTAATAGTTTGCAATATGAGTTTTGCAGCATTGTTTCCTCCATTTTAATAAGCAGCGCATTGATTGGTTCTTTGGCATTTAATAACCTACCACCGCGTTTTGCTTTAATGAACTAGGTAAATTGTTCCTGGTGTGCTTTATGACATTGCCTTACTCTCAAAGGGGGGAACAGGGTGAGACTCTTCTACTGATGAATTCTCCAGTACTCTCCTCGTTAAAGCGCTTGGCGAAATGTATTTAGCAGACCTCTAGGTCATTCTGATTAGCAGAAAGTGAGAATTACTGCAATTAGCCTCCGGCTGGGTGGGGGGCGGACGGCAAGCGAGAGGGGACATGATAGAAGTATATAAAATTATGCAAGAAAGTGGATAGAGAGACATTTTCCTCACTTTCTCATAATACTGAAACACATGGTCATCCAGTGAAGCCGGGATGGAAAATTTAGGGCAGGCAAAAGAAAGCATTGTTACACGCTACCCTGATCTTCGAGGGGCGCAAAATTCCAGAGGTTGCAGGTGCGCTTTAACCCAGGGCCTGTGTTTCCTTTTAGACCAGTGGTTCTCAAACTGGTCCCTACCGCCCACTAGTGGGCGTTTTTCTAGGTGGGCGGTAGCGCTGGTGGAGGAAGAGGAGTGCGGGGAGAGCACACCACCCCCAGCAGCGCAATCCCAGTGGGGTGCCATCGCGGCTGCCCCCCACCCGCTCTGGGCGCCATGCCCCTGCAGGTGGATTGCCACGCCCCCGGAATGCGCACCAGCCCTGCCCCCTGCCCCCACCTGCTCTCCACCCCCCGGTGCTGGAGCATGAAGCTCCGCCACTGGGCAGTAGGGGATTCTACAGCACAAGCTGAATCCTCCTTCCATCGAGCACTGGTGGGTGGTAAGGAAATTTTACCATCAAGAAAGATGCATTAGTGGGCCATAGGTATAAGAAGGTTGACTGTTTTAGACAATGAAGCACAGAGGAGGCTGTGATGTCTTTATGATATATTTACACATAAACACAACCTGAATCTAATGGAGGGATCTCCAGCATTGCATTACAAGTTGTTCTGGTTTCTCCTATAGCCACAACATTGGATTCAAAACAAACATCAGCATCCTGCTTTTTGACTCTTTCTCCAACCCACTGCTAAGTAACTCTGTTCCTTAACTCCTGCCATACTAAACTCTAACCTCCCCTAAAACACTGGCACTGCCTTTTAACTAAACCCTTTAACTAAACCTTAGTTGAGGAAGGGAGGAAACCCACACACTTGCACATGGGAGCCACTGCAGAAAAGCCCCGTTCTCGTGTTTTCGCCCTTCGTACATCTAATGGAGGAGGCACACCACGAAGGGCCTCAGAGGATGATCGCTGCGGCTGGTTTGGTTCTGAGACTTTGGCAATCTGGGTTCAGAGCCCTGTTGGGCCATACAAACCTTGTTGTGTAGTACGTACAAGGCTTAGTGCTCCCTTCTGTGAAACTGTACAGTTAGTCAACCTTTGATCTGTTTGTTTTTTTGGGTGGGAGTTACTACTTAATACACGCTTGCTTGCTTGATTATTTATCCAGCTGAATAGGCTGAAAGTAATGATTAATCCTGTTAAGGTTCCTTTTTGGTTGATTGACAGCCCTTCTTCTTTCTCCCTTTGCAGGAACTCTCATCGACATGTTTGGGGACTACAAATACATGTTCATCAAGTGTGGGGCAGTGATGGTGCTGGCTGGGCTCTTCCTCTTCATTATGAATTACTACAACTACAGAATGCTTGCAAAAGAGGAGAAAGCAAGGAAAAAGATGGAAGCGCAAAAGAAGGACGATGGACCCGTAAGGACAGTAACTGCAGAAGGAAACGCCACGGGAGCAGAAGAGATGAACGGTGGCCCCGAAGCAGTCCCTCTGGGAAGTGAAGAGGAAGCACTAAAGAATGGGGCAAACATCGCAAGTGAAGCCTAAATCTGCATCACCTGATTTTCTGAATGGGAAATAGCTCTTTCGTATTTCTTAAAGTGACTTCAGATGTACAGCATGTATAGATGGCCTTCACACACTATTGCCTCCCTGCCCCCGCTGACTCCAAAAACCTAGAAGCAAATAACAAGCCCAGTTTCCTACGAGCACACAGCAAATACTATGCAGTGCTCATTATTACACTACTTCAAATCGGTATAAGCTTAGAGCCTTCCCAGCCACTTAGGCAGCAAACACTTTCCTCCTTGTTTAGTCCAGGATAACTGCCTATGTCAGAGCTTTGTGCCTGTGTCCCTCACTCAAAATGGCCCCTAAAATGGAAGAACCAGGGAACATTTTGTAGGAAAAGTTGCATGGCATTGGGGAAATTGCTCACCCACAGTGGATCCTCTACGTTGGAGAGTCAGCATTCCTTCTCCATCGCCTCTAACAGAGAAGAGCCACAGATCAGCAGTAAAGCACATGCTTTGTGTGCAGAATATCCCAAGCATCTCTAGAAAAAAAGGTACTGAGTACCAGGCCTGAGAAAGAATGTAAGAAGAGCCTGCTGGATCAGGCCAGCTCATCATCAGTTGCAATATGGGAAAGCCCAAAGGCAACATAATTTTCCCCTCTTGCCGTTTCCAGCAACTGGTATTCAGAATACTGCCTCTGGCTGTGGAGATACCCACCAGTGTAGCCTTGTTCTCCATGAATTTGTCTAATCCTCTTTTAAAAGGGCCTCTTCCTAAGAGCTGCTGCTAGCCAGAGTGGACAGTGCTCTCTTAGAAGGATCCACGATTTGACTTGGTATAAGGGATGCTTGTATTTTCATTACTCTTTCATAGCTTATAATTCACAGTGCCTGCTGTATGGCTGGGGTGTACACAGCTGGCCTCTTCTGGTGGCGATCTGGTGCACAGAACAAAAAAAGTGAAGAGAGAGAGACTTTGAAGAGAGCTAAGTGTCGCCACTGACTTCTCTTGTTGACAAACACGCATTTGACATTCGGACCCAGTCATGTGATGGTTGCTCATCACTTTTTCCAACAGAAGAGTTTTCTGGATCTAGGCCTATGAGGTCTTAACATTATGAACGTGCATAAGCACAACATACAGTTCAAATGACTAGGTTGCACTACACAGTTCAGTTTCTGTGGCATGTTTACTAACATTAACAGTAATTCACTGCTAATATAAAGCTTACCAAAGTTTTTTGTTGTTGTCCGGCCTGTAAATTCTGGTTAGATTTAGATAACTTCCAGCTAGACTGTACAGATCCCAATTCATGCATTGTCCAAGAATGCCGCCACAAAAACCTGTCCTAAGACTTTTGCACAAGACATAGTCCTAACCTGATCATTCAGCAACCATTTCCTCTTATAATTTTATGACTGACACAAACTGCACAAAGAGCTTCACACCAGATATTTCCCCAGAAACACAGATTCCATTCCTCTCTTTTTTAAACAACCTGCCCATTCATTCTCAGGAAGGCTTCCAAGTAATGTCAAAAATCATGAGCTTGTCTTGTTACAAATAAAGGCATTATTTTACTGCCACTGAATTTTATTATTATAAAGGTTTCCAGCGAAGCTGAGCCCAAGAAGACATTTTTCTGATAAAATTGTCTGAGTTTTTTCTTTTTCTCACCTAACCCCAGGGGGAAATAAAGAGACCACTTTGCAGAATTGGGTACTGAAACTTATACATCAGTGTAATATGTGTACATTTATTTGCTGCCACATCCAAAATTAAAGGGCATCTCACCCCCCCAAATGCTTGTGGAGATTGATGAGGCCAGCAAGCTGATAGTTCAGCTTCCCTGACATATAACATGCGTGTTAGACCCTAAGTCAGGTTCAAATCCACGAGAGCGAAACAAGGAACATTAGCGATTGAGTCAAGGGAATTTTGGGGTAGAGAACGTGGATGGTCCTTTGCAGAGAATTAAAATCCAGGAGCTCTAAACCTCAGGCAAAATTTACTTTGCCTGCAGCTTATGGATATCAGATATAGTTGCCAAGATGAACATGCGCTGCTTTATCTGGCAGAACTACCTGAACATTTTAGAGAAAGAAAGTGGACCTGTTTTGACACAGTGTGCTTCCTTCTCTGAGAAGCACTCGCAGAGGAATCCTTTGAAGAATGTTAACATCAAAATTCAAACTCCACATGATCCCAAAATCCACAGGAACCAGCAGGAGTTTCTTCCCCAGAAGATGCTTCCACTGTGAAGGGTTTTTTTCCCTTTCTGTCCAGGGGGTGTTCCTCTCTAAAGATTCTTTCCTGAAGTTCCTCAGGGAAGGGGGCTTTTTTAAAAGTGAAGACATAGTCTACACATTAATTAGCAAAAACTATGGTTATTTTAATCAAATTTCAATAACATCAGAGTAAAAAAAAAGACTTTTAAGTAACTTCATTAGTACTGTAAGAGAATCAGGCACATTAAAAGGCATGTTGACATTGATTTCTCAACTGAACCTTCAGTTTTTATTGCCTGAGGTTCTTCTTGGAAGGACAATAGTTGCGTGCCAAGGCACCTAAGCAACAAAATTCCCAGGAGAACAATAAAGCACATGGACATGTCGTATTTTGGTTTATGGGTTCAAATAGGCTTTATTGGATACAGATGTGAGTGGTTTGGCTCAGGCATTGGGGTGAAGCCAGGCTATATCTTGACTCCTGCCCGTCTGCAGAGAGTCCACTTAAGGGTAAACCGCCAATGGGGCGGCCTATGACTTACATCAAATAGGGGCACCCCGAGAGGTCCCCGTAGGGGCTGTGACATGGCCCTAGCCCACATTCAGGCTTCAGACAGGATTCACACCCCGGATCGCTTAACGCCACCCACCGGCAGAAGGTGAACAGACTTATCACACCTGAAAGGCAATCATTTGCTAGCTTTGCATGCAACCACTGACATTTATTATTACCATTTGATGCAGGAAGAAGTAAAGGGTATAAAGTTTTGTATCAGTGCCTGCTCCTGTATTTGGAACAGAAGTTCAGTCTGCTGACGTTAGGATGTGTTAATGTTTATCCCAATGCTGCAAGAAGTTTCACCTGCCAATTAGCAGAGATTAAAACTGCACAGAAGATGGCCAGGTAGCCCTCCCCCCCCCACTCTACAATTGGCAACATTAGCTAATAAAGGACCAGATATATTTATGTAACCTATACAGTACAATTCTTGAAGACCCCTCAGTGCTGGCCGACAAACCGTGAATCTGTTATCATCTCCCTTTATTAATTGGGATATACATTTTAGTCTTTGGTGAAAGCTTTAAGCTGCGATCCCGTTTATTAATTAAGATTTATATGCAACTTATTTTCCTTTTTTAAAAAAAATCACCTCCTAAGTGGTTTTCATAAAATGGCATAAAATATTATTTTAAAATAGCCATAGACTTTGAAAAGAGACATCATGACATCAACATATAAAAAAGCCCAACAGATTGAAAACAAAACAGAACAAAAACAAGTGCACACAATGAAGTACATGCATTGGGTATGCTTACATAAAAAAGAGAGAAAAGTTCTTAGCATGCATCACATACTAGGAAGTCAGTCCCATTGAGTTAAGTGGGGCTCCCTTCCTAGCACATTTTGTACATTACTGTGTAATTTCTCATTTTATGCAAGATGTATTTTCCAGCTAACCAGAACAACAGGTCTCAGTCACCAATCCACGCTGTTATTTGTGTAAATGCTGCAATTAACTGACCCCAAACATACTGGCACCTGCTCTTTTCTTGAGCAGCCACTGAAGAAGCAGCGCATAAATCTTCAGATACGCACATCTCCCTGCCCCCTCCTATACCCATGTGCTGCAGCGCTAGGGCAAACTTGACTGAAATGCTAGCTATGCTTATGAGGACAGCTGATAACTTAAGGAACAGGATATTTAAACAAAGCCTTCCTGTTGAGATAATGTAGGCAGCCACCATATCTAGTTTTCAAAACAACAGAGGTTCCTCTTTTCAACTGGGTGCATTCCTCTGGCTGGATGGAGACCAAAAACTGATTAGCAAGCAAACAAAAGCACACACCAGTACAGCTTTACTCTTCTTTCAACATAAGCCGCTTTTTGGCGGGCCAGATCCTTTTGTCCGGAACATCCCAAACTCAGCATTAGAATCAAATGGGGAGGCGAAATACAACTTTGTGACCTGGATTGCAGGTGGAACGTCATACAAGCTCCCTCTCGGTCGAACTGCAGTCCTCTGGACTGCCGAATAGTCTGATTCCAAATATTGAGGGATACGGGAACAATTGCCCATAGCAGAGTATACGACAGAATGGAAAGCCTGGGGAACATATACAAATGTTTATGCAAATAATTGCAGAAGGAACGCGGATTTTTCTCATCTGACTATTCTACCTGCAGGTATGGTCTGGAACAGGGTGGAGAGTCTCTCAGCCTCAGGGGCCACATGTGGTCTGTTAGACTTCTTTCTCTGGCCCTGAAGGCTACACCCCCAGCCACACCCACTTTCCCCAGGTCACACCTTTCCCCAGCCTTGCTGCAAACCCTCCTTGAGTATTTTTGTCTTTCTGAAAGGTGCCGTTGAACTCTGTGCTTCTTGCTTGTCTAGACAGAGGATAGAGAAGTGTGTGTGTGTGTGTGTGTGTGTATGTGTAGAAAGTAGCCTTCTGTATGAATAATAATAATAATAATAATAATAATAATAATAATAATAATAATTTTTTTAATATCCTGCCCTCCCCAGCCGAAGCCGGGCTCAGGGAGGCTAAAAACAATAAAATAATACAACATTCTAAAATCATTTCATTATAAAATTAATTCAAATCAAATTGATGGCAACCATTGGGCTAGAGTTCTGTGAAGATTGCCAAAGGAGGGTGAGTCAGGCTGTGCCCTGGCCAAAGGCCTGGTGGAACAGCTCTGTCTTGCAGGCCCTGCGGAAAGATGTCAAGTCCCGCAGGGCCCTAATTTCTTGTGACAGAGCGTTCCACCAGGCCTTTGGTGGAATTTACTGGTACATCTGTTGCTCCACCCACTTTCTCTCCAGCCCCGCCCACCACTGCCATGCGGCCCAGAGCAGGTTGTCTGAAAGGCTGAAAACAGTTCTGCAGGCAGGGTGGGGGAGTTGTGACTTCCCAGATGTTGCTAGACTCCAGCTCCCATCCACCCCAGCCAGCATGGAGGGCCAAAGGTTCCCCATCCCTTCCATAAGTCTTGTCTTGGTGTCCAGTGTGCTTGTTCCCTCGGTGTTCATACGTATGGGCTTCTCATAGTATAGTAAAAATACAAATTCAGGATAGGTTGGGAACAGTTACTACCAGACAAAGTCTTCTCAGGGAGAAAGAGGAGCCTAAAAAAAATCATGGTGTTGAAAAAATGGATAGTTTAGGAAACAAAAAGACAAGAGAAGATAAAGAAACTGCAAAAGACAGTCATAAAACTGCCCAGAATCTTAAAAACACCATTTCTGCTTTGTAACGGGGAATCTCATAGCCATACTGGCTCATTATACAGTGGTACCTCGGGTTAAGAACTTAATTCATTCTGGAGGTCCGTTCTTAACCTGAAACTGTTCTTAACCTGAAGCACCACTTTAGCTAATGGGGCCTCCTGCTGCTGCTGTGCTGCTGCTGTGCAATTTCTGTTCTCACCCTGACTCAAACTTCTTAACCAGACATACTATTTCTGGGTTAGCGGAGTGTGTAACCTGAAGCGTCTGTAACCCAAGGTACCACTGTACCTGGTTCATTTAGGTCTGGGCTTGGTGGTAGATTATGATGATTGATGATTACTTAATTACTATACCACTTAATATATTAGAAATATCTCTAAGTGGTGTACAGAAAACTGAAGCAATGGACAACAGCTTAAACAAAAATATTACAAAAATACTCAGAAACATATAAGAAAAGTTACCTTAATCCTAAATTGCTACTTTATTTTCCTTCTGACACACCTTCCCTCTCAGTTTCCAGGTTCTCACTTGGAGTCCAGACAAACTTTCCATTCACCCATAAAAACCTCACAATGAGAAGAGTTCCTGGAAGCAGTGGACATCACCCTAGTCTCTCAATCTAGACTTGCTTTTTATGGGTAGGTCCATGGTGGATGATCCTTCCTCAGGCTGCCCACAGCTGTGTCCCATTCGGCTGCACTCTCCATACCCTGTTTCAGGTACAGCAGGTTTGTTGAGTTTCCCACAGGGTCCAAAAGATGGGGGAAGAGCCTCCCTCCACCCACAGCTCATTCTTTACCCTCTGCTTTCTTTCCATTCCAAAGCAAAGCCAATGAGTGATTTATACAGTGTGACTTCCACTGAACATCTACAACTCTCTAAACCAGGGGTCAGCAAACTTTTTCAGCAGGGGGCTGGTCCACTGTCCCTCACACCTTGTGGGGGGCCGGGCTATATTTTGGAGAGAAAAAAAGAACGAATTCCTATGCCCCACAAATAACCCAGAGATGCATTTTAAATAAAAGGACACATTCTACTCATGTAAAAACACGCTGATTCCTGGACTGTCCATGGGCCAGATTTAGAAGGCGATTCGGTCAAATCTGGCCCCCGGGCCT